CTTTGAGACCTTTTACCGTATAAGAAATGTTCGCTTCGCATCTTTTTACAGGTTAATCGTCGAGTCTTTGCAAAATTTGATACCAAATACATCAAAATTACATCGGAAGGACACATCGACAACATAATACAGCAAACGACAAATACGAAAACAAATTATATACAAGATGTTCCACGATTATAACACCCGGAAAGAGATGATTCCTGAGGTCATTTGAAGGAACTTTTTCCTTTGCGAAAATACAATCGGCGGCTTTGTTTACGAGTTATTAACGAAAAACAGTGACCAATGAGAGGCGAGCTCGGCTGGCGCTAGGCGGCCGAGCCAATCAGCAGAACTGGGCTTCGACGGCTCGTTGGCTCGGCCGCCTCTCGCCAACTGAGCTCGCCCCGCATTGGTCAGTGTTTTTCGTTAATAACTCGTAAACAAAACCGCGGATTGCATTTTCGCTAAGGAAAAAGTTACTCCAAATGACCTCAGGAATCACCCCTTTCCGGGTGTTAACATAATTGTGGAACACCCTGCATACAGAATATCATTGCGATTGTTATTTCACCAAATGCGAAATAATACAAAGATAACAATGTGAATCCAAAAAGGGCCTCAACTCTTGCGGATGGTTTAAGCCTTCCTCGAAGCAACGTCAAATGTTTTCATGATATCTCTCGCATGAAAGCAAAGATACTTATTTGTATATTAATATATTCTTCGCGAATTTTATCACAGTCATTACTGTTACCCGCTCGTTCATCCAACAACGTTCCAAAAGTTCTAACAAATAAACACAGTTAGAAGAACAATTTCTCAAAATACACTTCTGAAGATATTTCCTGCGGACTTATTAGCCTTTCCTATTGTTCCTAGAGTAACAGCAATTCATTCGATTCGATCGTCGACAACTGATGAATTAAATGAACGATTCAAATACTCTGGCTGAAAATTGACCCGTCCATCATCATCCGAGATTTAATTACCAGAAGAAACCCTCCAAATACCCAAAACTTTGGCGAACGGGTCCTGTCCACCCGGTGCCCAATCACGACCGCTATCCTGACGTCTTGCTAACGGAAGAGGAACCCCGTTCGGTTCGCCTCGAAGAACATGATACCGAGGGAGTCAGGTGGTGAGAAAGTGGTTGGGAGCCCCCTATCGGAGCCTGGCACAATATCCGGCATCGCTGAGAACGGAGGAAGGGCAAACATCGTAATGCAGCTCCTCGGCTTCCCAGTCGAAGAACTCGACGAAGGTGGTAGGTCTCCCTGCGGATAGGGATGAGTGAAGAAGAGAGGGAGATAGAGGGAGAGGGAGATGAAGAGAAAGAGAGCCCTTAACGAACTGTTCCCCCTTAATTTTATCACGGCGGAATTGCCCACTCCATCTAAGATCTGTTTGCTCGCGAAGAAACATCCGAGATAAGACCGCGGGAATTATGAAGAGATTGCTCGGCTGCGGTCCAAGGAAAAGCATCCTTCGCTGGAGAGCAGTCTAATTACAAGAACGAAAAGCGGCGTAGGCGGCGAGATGGCTAGGTATGGGGAATGTTCCCTCTCTCTCTCTCTCTCTTTTCTCTCAGGAGAAGGGCCAGGCAAAGTCCTTTCGAAACTGGCTAAGGCCACCACGCTGAACAAGAAGAAGAAGAAGAGACTCGAGACGTACGAACCGGGTGAAAAGAGGGGTCGAAAAAGGAGCAGGATAACCGGGGAGATAACGACTATCGACGCCTCGCCGTGGACTCGTAATGGACCACTCGACTCGATGCTCTCCCTCTTCCACTCGCTTCGTCTCTCTCTCTCTCTCTCTCTCTCTCTCTCTCCCTCTCTCTCCCTCTCCCCCTCTTACGCTCCAAGAGACCCTCGCCTAAACGCGGAATTTTATGGGCGCGTTCGCTGCCGGTGACAAGACGAGCAATAACCTCCCCCAGCTATTCCACCGGCATAAGCGCCTGAAAAACTGTTTTTTCAAAGCGGAACGCTCCGCGGGCCTCTTGTTGCCGATTTACTCGAATAATCTCGACCCTATCGATTCATCCTCGGATTTACGAGCTTTATCGCTGTCGTTCTTCCCCGGTTTCGGCCGGCGACGCTTCGTTTCGTACATTCGTTAGACCGATCGGTTTTCCGTGCAAAATATCCGCCGCTTCAAACGTATCTTATAATCAAAATCGGTAGCTGAAATTTCAAGTGATGAAAATGTTACAGAAATGTAAGCACACGTGTGCGTTACTTTCATCTCGCTGAAATTATCAAAGAAAGAATAAAAGAAAGTCCGATTTAATTCATCTCTATGTTGCAATCGATATCGACAAGTTCTATTTTGCCAACAGATCTGCAGTCTGCGAACAGTACGCCAGCTTTATAAATGTTTTCATTCGTCTTTTTACGTTTTCTCATTTGTCCGATAAGTTTAATACACGGATCTTCGTTTATAAAAAGGTCTTCAACGAGCGGAAAATATCGAATTACTTCAAATAATGATGATAGTGGTAAATTTTTTTCGGTTTGAACAACCATTTTTTAATAGTGTCTTCTTAGAAAAGCATTAAACTTTTTTTTTAAAGATACGATTTTTTCTTTTTTTAAAGATAAATATATAACTGTGAAAACACCTATCTACGTACGTAAGGGATGTCTTCACCCTGAGGAAACGAATTGTGGCCGAAAATAACAACAGCTCGAACCTGCTCTTAAGATCCCCGACAAATCTGCACAATTTCAAAAAGATGAAAATGACCGAGTTGCCGAACTTCCCTTGTTTGTAACATCATGGCATAAAACTTTTCGTTGTAAATACAATAGTTTCTGCTTAATCGTAGTCGAACGTCGAATTGTTACTTCTCGCGAATCATCTACTGGAGATTCGCCGTGTCGTCGCGTTAAGATAAAACAATGAGTAGCACAGCGAACGGGAACGCATTACGTACGGTGACGCTCAAAAGTTTCGCCATTTTCCCTCTTCAATCATCTGGAATCTTCTTCTTCATTCGGATACGTTTTTACATCGATTAGCTCTGGACGGCGAGCCACGAAGACTGAACGTTGCCAGACAACCGCGAGCCACGACCAAAGAAAATTCACCGTTCCGGAAGGTTCCAACCCGAATCCAACCAGTCCCTCGCCCTTCTCTCTCTCTCTCCCCCCTCTTTTTACCCGTATCGGCGATCGTTAATTAACAAGGAAAAAGATCCGAGCAGCCGCGCCGAGGCGAGGAACAATGGCTCTCGGTTTTCTTTCCGCTCTATTCGTCTTCGTCTTGCATAACGCGCGGCTATCTGCTGCGTTACATCGACAAATTAATATCCCGCCGTGATTGTTTATGGCGCCGGACGCCTTCATTATGTTACACGGTAATATAATGAGCCCATTGTGCCGCGCCGCACGGGTATCGGGAATTTCGGCCGAGACAAATAATGGCGAAATTCGGTAGAATATCCGACACCGAGAAAGCGTCAGTCTTTGCTGATATTTAGTTGCACCGTTTAAGCTCGATGAGACGTCGGGAAATTGTTCTGCCTTTGATGCGAAAACGTTGTGTGTGTTTTATCGATTATACGCACTGTTCGTGCATATTTCTGTACGAATGTATTTGCGCATTTATCTGTGCACTCGTTATCAAAACGATATCTGTAATATCGTTGCGAGTGATTAGAATTACGGCTACATATTTTGTTAAATAACTCCGAAGATCGCAACTTTTCGCAAATAAAATATTTATAGCATCATAATGTATTATGTGACGAATACTATGTCAGAATTAGAATCCCATGATATTTTGACCCGTTTTCTTTTTTTTTTATACAGGGTGTCCCAAAAATGTCTCGCAATCCGGAAATGGCGGGTTCCTCGGATCATTTGAAGCAACTTTTTCCTTTACAAAAACGTTCTCCGAGACACCGTTTACGAGTTATTAACGAAAAACGGTGACCAATAAGAATATAGTACGGCTGACGCGACATAGTTCGGCTCATTGGCTCGGCCGCCTCGCGCCAGCTGAGCTGGGATTCGACCGCCTCGACCGCTGGCGCCGCTGGCTCGGCCACCTCGCGCCAGCTGAGCTGGCATTCGACCGCTCGACCGCTGGCGCCGTTGGCTCGGCCGCCTCGCGCCGGCTGAGCTGGGATTCGACCGCCTCGACCGCTGGCGCCGTTGACTCGGTTGCCTCGCGCCAGCTGAGCTCGCCTCTCGTTGGTCACTGTTTTTCGTTAATAACTCGTTAATGGTGCCTCGGAGAAAGTTTTTGTAAAGGAAAAAGTTACTTCAAATGACCTGAGGAACCCGCCACTTTCGGATTGCGAGACATTTTTGGGACACCCTGTATATATATAAAACCTTATACAAAGTGTAGGAAAATAAATCGAATTTAATTATTTCATTTCGGTTTAATTATTATATTGCGTACAAGTACAGAAAGATTATACTGATCTCTCTGTAAAAATTGCTTTTTATTCATAGGACAATGTAATCAATCTGCGTCGCGAACTAACGTTGTTCTTCCTAACATTGGCCCGGAGAACTCGCTTGAAATTAGTCTCCTGCTCAATTTCTTGAACGTTCTGTTGCTGTATATGATTATTTAGACATTTTAACACGTATACTACACACAGTTTTGAATAGATACGAAGCAATGACTTTTTTTTCAATTTTGCCCATTGACGACGCGTCCTGGCGATCAGCGGTTAAACGGTTCAAAGTTAGCAAGTCGGCCGGAAATAAGGTGAGACGCGTGTCGAACCGAGTTCGGCTCGGACGGTCTCGAGTCGCCGGGACGAAATTTAATCCGTCGCGTCGGACCTTGTCTTCGTCCCGGGACGACTTTAATCTGAAATCGGGTTTCGGTCGGCGCTTTTAAGCCGGCTCCGGAGGGCTGGTTTTCGTCGTCGCGATGACGGCCGAACGGCGAGGACAGCCCGGGCGAAGGGGCGGGGCGGGGCGGACAGCGGAGGAGAAACATGTAACTTTTCGGAAAGCCCTTACGAACTTTGCCCCCTATGGCTTGTGTTGCAGCTCTCCGCCATGGTCGACGGGATTTATCCGGCGCACGGACAAACTGCAGGCTCGTTCACACATTTGGTGAGCGATCGACTGATAGTGGGCGGAGGCGCCGATGTGAGATCCCTGCAGGGCGCTAAAGGGATCAACAACTTCGTTGGATGCCTCAGAAAGGTAAGATCTATTCCGCGATCGATGCGCGATCCAACTTCTGATTTATTTCATTCCGCGAGACGCGGAACCGCTCTGGAAACGATAGCTCTCGCGGTCGCGATAGCTCCTGGCGATCGAGCTAATGAGTGCCGATCGAACGAACGCTCGAAATAGCTCGAGTAATGGAGAATTTCAGAATCTCGTAAGTAATGGAGCCAGAAATCTCATAGGTAGCGGGCTAGCCAATCACTGTGCCTTTAGTTTATTTTCAAGCAGAATCGACTTCACATTTATCGGTTAAAATATATCAAATTTTTTCATTTCGATTCCATTAATTATGTGTTTGTTAAAATTAAACGTGTAAAGAACGGAAGCACTTACAAACCAGCAAAATTATTTTTTTATTTTATACTGATAAGGTTATAAGAAAGCTTAAGAAAATACTGAACGAATGAAGATCACAATATTCGGTAAAATATGTAATTCGTTCTCGATAAGATATTACAATGTTAGTTCTATTGATAAAACGTACTGAGATTACGGAAAAACAAAACAGTGATTATGTATTTGAATTTTTGATTTTACTTTCAATTTCAGTAGTTTATTTGTTGCGTACAGTAATTGAACCTATCTTTTGCTGGATGCATTAGTTACTGTGCCGCTTACCACGAGATTGGCTTACATATCCTCAAATCATCTTTATTATATTTTTAAGAACTTGCATTTAAAATTGACAATGGACTGCTGCGTCTTTCGATGTGAATCCTATCCGCTTGCAAAAACGGTGAAGAAATGATTGAATTCTTTCTAGGTTTCGTTTGTTGTCAGACCCGTTTATATATATATATATATAATAATAATAATTTTTAATTATAAATTTTTATATATATATATATAATATATAATAATATATATATAATATATAATATATAATATAATATATATATATTATATATAATAAAATATAAAAAAATATAATAAATATATATATAATATATAATATAATATATATATTATATATATAATATATAATATAATATATATATTATATTATATATTATATATATATAATATAATATATATAATATAATATATATATTATATTATATATTATATATTATATATATATTATTATATTATATATATATTATTATATATTATATATATATAAAAATTTATAATTAAAAATTTCCACGTGCAAGAACCCAGACACACAAGGAAGACTACGCGATGTTAGGTGACTACAGTTTCGTGTATATATAAATATATTTATTCTTCCATCGTTCCCGAATAAATTAGCAAAATAATTATCCTGTCCCGCACACCGTTGCGTTCTTCGCGCACTTAAAAATAATTCCCCCGTGCCATTAGAGCGTGCATTATGAAGTTCGCGTATTTATACGCTGTTTGCGCGGAGCATTCGGCTCTAAAAACATAACAACGCCGGGCTTTATCTTTTAATCTTTGTCTTTTAAAGCCGGAACGCAATGAAATGGCAGACCGCTGACGTTATACGCAGCTCGCTCGCGACTACGACAATGCGCTAAATACACGAAACTGTAGTCACCTAACATCGCGTAGTCTTCCTTGTGTGTCTGGGTTCTTGCGCGTGGAAATTTTTAATGATGTAATTTCGAGTTACGAGAACGCGAGGCGAATATTATATTTAATTCTAGAGAGAAAGAGAGAGAGATACCTATGCGCATATATATAAAATGCGGAAGAAATTTGTCGTTGCTACAACTTTTATGGCACTAAGATTGAAAGGAGCTCGAAAGCATAAAAGTTGTGCTGGTGTCGTATCTTCTTTGTTAAAGCGCGCGATGTGCCGCGGCAATGCTTGATGTATTTATAGCTCTGAATTTTGGAATGCCGTCGAGGGATAGATTAACTCATTTTTACGAGACACAATTTTCTAAGAAAAGAGCGAAGTTACGCGCTGCTTATATAATGCTTTAATTTCAATTTAAAATTACGTAAAAGTTTTTCCCCTTAGATTCCAGTCCCTCGCGTTCCTTTCTCATTTGCCTCTTAAATATGTGATATCAAAGCTTATAACGCAGCAATTTTGCGATAAATTTTCCGGGCGGCCACAGTAATCTTTGAAGTTCCGAAATGAAACTCTTTATTCGCTTTTTACCGCTTCCACCCCCTCCACCGCCGCAGTATGTGCATGACATTATGTTACACACTTTGATCAAAAAATATTAACTCGAAAGAAGCACTCCACCTTCCCTGTCACCGAACTTGCTCCCTTATTGTTGAACGTACAACTTATTAAAAATTCTGCGAAAGTTTCGTCGACCAGGAAAGAATGCATCGAGCAAGTTTCTCGCTAAAATAACGTTGATACAAAATTTTAATTTCCCCGCGAGTCTATTAAATGCGCGAATATTTACAATATACCGAAGCATTTAATTAATTATTCAGTTTCAATATTTTAGTTCCTTTGAGACGAGATTTCTTTTACCGTGCTGTTCCAATTATTCGCGCGACGGTAAATGAAGTATTAATTAGCTGTTCGTATCATGACATACAAAGTTTTTAGTTCATTTTTCGATTTTCACATTGTAGTTCTTTTGCCGCGAGCTTTCTTTCGCTGTACTTCCCCAATTATTCCTGCAACGATAAATGAAATATTAATTAATAGTTAGAAGTATAATATTCCAGAAGAATGTTTCTTTATCCAGTTTCAATTATGCAACGTCTCAAACGAGTGTATAACGCGGTTTTTCGAAATTCCAAGCGTTACGTACGTTTCGCAGTTCCGTTCTTTGCATGAACAAAGAACAATAATTATCATAGCGCACTCGACGGGATATACGAAACCGTAGCGAAACGTTATCTTTAGCACAGTTTAACCAGATAGAAGAGTCGTTTGTCAGATAACTAACAGAGAAACCGTCCACGGCGCTGTTTTTAATTCATTAACCCTGTTCCTTTTGTAACTTTCTCCCGCGACCAGCCGGCAAATTGGAGCTTCGTCATCGCCTCACTTACCGTAATATGAACATTATAGTCGCCGGCGAGCCGCCCTCCTCCATGGATCCCGCCAGTTAACGCGTTTGTTAATTATATCCCGCTTCGCGATGCTTTCTCCGTTTCAGTTTCTCGTTCCGTTCGCAACCGAGATCGCGGGGGCGTTGGATCGCTAAATAACGCATTCAAAAATGAAATGTTCAAGCGGACAATTTCTCCGTGGCTTCTTCGAAGTGTGGCTAGAGTTTCACGAATTCGTATTCGGCGATTGAATTGCTAAAAATTTGTGAAGGAATACGTTCTCGAAAAAGGGTCTTCATTCAATTTTTCTACAGTTACGCGAAAACGAATTATTTCAGTCGAAAATTTCGGCGCATCTTCTTCAAAGCTTTCGCCCAAAAGTTTCGTGGATTCATATTTAACAGTTGAAACGCTAAAAATTCATGAAAGACCGCGGATCTCGAAAATGGTCTTAAAATTCGTTCAACACGTAAATACAAATTATCAGTCTCTAAAAAATTTAAGATGACAATTTTCCTGTATTTTCTTCTAAGCGTTTCTTAAGTGTTGCTAGAGTTTCACGAATTCATATTCGGCCATTGAATTATTAGAAATTCGTGAAAGAACGCGTCCTCGAAAATGATCTTCATTCAATTTTTGTACAAATACGTGAATACATACGTACAAAGGTCGTAACTTGCTCAAAAGTGAATTATTCAAGCTAACAATTTATATGTAGGTTCTTCGAAGCATTGCTTAAACGTAGCATAAGTTTTACAAATTCATACTTAACCGTGAAATCGTTCAAAGATTCGTGTAAATGGCCTTCTCAAAATTTGTAGAAACAATGAAATACGTATAAAGTTGCAGCTTAGTTAATCTGAAAATTGTTCTGTATTATTTTCTATGAAAAGAGCGCGTCAGTACCTGACGATTGGGAGTTGTCTAGGGTTGAGAAATCGCGCTGAAGTTGAACAATTGCAACGTCGGCCGTCAGACATTCCTTTATCAATATTAAAAACCGGGACCTTTCAAAGAATCTAAATAAAACCAGCCGGAACGTTGACCGAACAAGCCCCACGTTGCATGTACAATCGGCCTGCGATCACGGGACGGAATTGTTGCAGTACTCCCGCGAAATGCACCTGTGTCTCCGCGTTCGTCGACTCTTTTTTTGTCCTCCCTGCCCTGTGCCGTTCCCCGTTGCCTGTTTAAAAATGAAAATGGCCAAGCTGAAATTCCGGGCGTAACAGCGTGGTGCCGGTCATTACGAGGCGATGAAATATTCATGGTGGCTAACTTGGTCCGCAAATATCCGCGAGAAACCGACACGAAGTCGAAGACGGGAACTGCGACTACGGGATTCGCAGTAAAGAACAAGAACGTAGCAATAAACTGGCCGCGGTTACGGCGCCCGGCCATCGTTCACCGGATATCGCCCCTTAAGTAGCTTTAAGGGCGCGCCGCCCGTCAACTGCCATAATATGCAAATGGGAGATCGCTATTAGCTTGCTTTTACACGAGCTGCTCGCCGACGTGTCCCGCCGCGTAATTCCGGAATCGGATTTATTACGCAACCACGTCGATGCCGATGAAAGATCGACTGCTACAATTGCGATTGTCGATCTTTCAGATCGATTTTTAGTGGATCGTAGATCGATTCGCAGTTCTTGCAAATAATTCTAAATCTCAAATTGTCTAGTTAATGCAATAATTCGTTTAATTTCAAATTGTTGCATTAACTAGACAATTTGAGATTTGGAGTATAGAACACAGGATGATTAGACGTCTCCAAATAGTAGTGTTACAACAAATTTTCTTAAATGAAGTTTTGCTGGCATCAAGTGATGGATGCGATACAGAAGATAATTTTTTCGAGGCCATGCTTTTCCCCCCGAAGTTCTCAAGGTCATGATTCGATGGCTGAATATAAATTCGTGACACTTTAGATACACCTTGTAAACGCTTTAACACCACTTAGCTGCGTCGATCCACTTTTAAGATCAATCTTGTATACCAGGGGTGTCAAACTCGCGGCCCGA